ATTATATTTTTACATATTGAAATAAAAGGAATTTAAAAAATCATATTTAACAAACCTACACATTACCAAATACAAAACTTTATAACCCTTTCTAGACTTCGTTCCAATTAACCTGGATCATTCAACTCGCTCGCGAAGGTCGTATACGACTTTAAAGTGAATACATCTACAGTGTACAAGTAACATTTAACTGTATCATATATACTCATGATAAGCAATTATTTTCGTTCCTAATTCGAATGAGCACATTCTGAGGCTAAATCTGCAAAAGGACAGATAAAATATTTCTTTGTACAATGCAAACGATACAAACGTAGCGGCTGATAATAGAGACAATGATTTAATAATCTGCAATATATCATTTGTTCTCGTTCAATCTATTGTATATACTGAAGTGATTGTAAAGTTTCAAGGAGTACTAAAATGTTGTGGTATTATGAATGTATTTAGAATATGAATAGCGAAAAAAAGTCACCATATCGGATTCCGCTTGTGCCGAGGCCCATGGTCATAAAACTAATCGGTCCCATAAAAGGAGCAAATAGTTTCGCAGATACTACTTGCTATGGTTCACTCCCAATTGTCAGACGACCTAATCATCAGTCAGACCAGTCAAGTGTGACCAGCGTACCTGCCTGGTTTTACCTCCTAATTACTGAACTGCCCAATACTGTCATACTGTGGGCAGAGTAAGCGGCCTCGTTGAGTGATACAGACTAACCAGATTATGATTGTGTTTGTAAGCTGCGTTTAATCGGTGTCGGGTTGGAGTTGTTTTATTAGGCAAGACTAGGGGTAGTTTTTTCAATGAAACCTTTTAGCCGTTGAGTTTGTTTTGCATTCATTACATTAAATACATTGTTAGGTAGAGTAATAACACGTTATATGGATTAAAAATCTCCCTAATCTGAGTATAATCTCACATGTACCGTACTATATTCCTTTGCGGAGACACTGATCATGAGTATAATTTTTGAGTTGGCATTGTATGCTGTCTGAATGACTTTACACAAATCCCTGCATTCAATGGACCCGTGAAGATCTTCAACAATCCATTCTTGTCGTAAAAGGGCGACAGCGCTTGTCGTAAGAGGCGACTGACGGGATCGGGTGGTCAGGCTCGCTGACTTGGTTGATGCATGTCATCGTATCCCAATTGCGTGGATCGATGCACATGATGTCAATCACTGGATTGTCTGGTCCAGACTTGATTATTTACAGACCGCCGTCATACAGCTGAAATATTGCTAAGTGCGGCGTTATACAACTAACAAACAAACAAAACTTTGAGGAATTCACAACAATCACTATGACGAGGTATGCATATCTTGCAATCAACCTGAATCCAGTTACTGGAATGTCAAACCCGGGCTTGGTTAAAACAAGAATTGCAGTTAGATCCGCTATATGCTGTAGATCTCCTGTAGTCAAGAGATGCAATAGCGAGGCAGAACTATGTCAATTTATGAGGGACAGACAGCTACTCGAACATATATAAACATAGCAGCCAAAGATAAAAATGAAATCATATCATGTACGAAAATAGAAATCATTTCAACACAAAAAGAGAAAGTGTATGAGTACTAAAACTTGCAATAGATATGCGTACCCTACGTACACACATGAGTCCCATTCGACAGTCTACAACACACGAATAACTGACAAACAAGTTTGGGTACCCCTTTTGTTCAGGCAAGTTATTTAGTTCAATAATTTTGTATTAAAATCCTTTTCAATTTGTTTTCACCATTTGTTTATGTTGCTACATCTTATTGCTCATGTTTCCAAGTATTGTAAAACACTTTAATGTTTCTCCTTCTTAATCTAACGTTATAACATTTCAGGTCATTGCCATCATCTAATACACAAGAGATGATACCAAGACATATTTTATTCGGTTTTATGGTCTATGCGGTCTTACAATTGATTTTATTAGTCTTTAAATCTTATGTCTAGTAAATATTTTCACAAACAGGGCTGTTAGCTGATACAAGGAATGTAACATCCAGTAGAGGACTGAATACGACGTACGTTAGTCTGGTAACGACGTTTCTACAATAAATATTTTGATTAAGCCGTTAATACGCCAGTTGTGACAGGGATGATGATATGGTAGCTGTAGCAGACATATTGACAGCCGTTGTTACGCGAGTCACTAGGTTATTAGTACGGCATTGGCCTTGTTGATTGTTACTATTTCTGTGGCCAGTGGCGGACGTAATTCAAACTCCTTCCACACTGACATCGCACCAAATATATTTGTGTACCTATTACATAACTCTTACTGACAGGGTAGGGTGGTAGTTCACGCGAAACGGACGACACTGTGTAAATTGAGCGGCTCCTTTGATATCGCCTCACAACATACTTTTAATGAATGACCCATTAAACGATGATACACATCAGGATCGCGGAGAAAATACAAGATTCGTTCTCGTTGAATATATATATCAAGGCACAAATTCATCTTTCATAAACTTTTTGTGTCTTTGTGCTTAATATATCCACATATCAACGAAAATATGTAATACATGTATCCACTAAAATATACATGTACAGGCTAGGCAAATTGTAATTGACCGACAGCAAGTATTGTAGAATCACCTGTAAATAAGGCCGACACTGTAATTAGACACAACGTACTAATGTGATTATTATCATAATATGAGAATTATCATAAGAAGGCTGTTACGTTTTTCTTAACTATTACCATTTTCATACCAAAAGTGACAATGCAGTTAAAAGTTGCTTTAGTGTCACAATATTCACTCACGTTTTCCTCAATCGCATTGAAACATAATTCCTACTGGTCAGTTCGACACCGCATGTAATTAAATAATTATTTCGAGATTTCGTTAGAATGTAAGATATACAGGCAAACATTATGCAATAAAAGACGAATAGTTTCTTTCCATTAAAATACGCGCACGCGTACCTGTCACGTAATTGCACAGTGTAATGTATCAACGGGACATAAAATGGGAAATGAAATACAAAACTAACTCAACTTTAATGTTGTGGAAAATAACTCCAATGAATTGGAGTACACGCACATGAATTCGTATGATAAACTGTCAAAACGTTTTGAGAGGTAAGGCCGGGTTCATTAAAGATCGCTACAATATGTAAAACAGGTGAAATTTGTAGAACTTCTATAAAGGAAACATCCAACCAAATGCCCTTTTTAAATAGTAATGTAATGATATAATATAAAGTATATTTCACATGATACAATATACTTTGCGAAACTGAAACTGTTGAGCAAAGGGAAATATTCTCGACCATGGGCCTGCCCCTAGGCCAAACCTTTTCTCGCCCATGGGCGAAATATTTCAATAACTCTATAAAATAGCTGAATTAAGTAAAATTGAGTTACATTATGTGCCATGAAAATGGGCGAAATATTTCAATATCGCTATAAACTCGTTGAATTAAGTTAAAATGAGTTAAATTTTGTGTCATGATACTTGAATGAAACATTAAATGTATTTGCGAAACAAAATCATGAGTTTTAAGTAAAGGAACATATTCTCGCCCATGGGCTTACCCATGGGCCACACATAGTCTAAATATTGAGTTTTTGAACAATTTTTTCTTTCTTTTTTTCTTCCTTGGTATGTTCCCATGAAAACAGCATCTTTAATTTTGTAAATACCTTTAACCGAGACTGGGCAAAGACCTTAGAGTTTCTGGACTTTTGGGTTTCCAGAATTAAAATGGGACGTGTTTTATAGGTCAAGATAGGGAACTCCATCAGACATTCACACAAGTAATGTTTGTATTATCTGGTGTTGGTTTGTTGTTAACGCCGCACTCAGCAGTATTCCAGCTATATGACGGCTATGATCGAGTGAGAGTGAGTTACTTCGCAGCATTTCAGTTACATCACGGCGGGTAGACTAACTTTGGGATGAAAACGGGTCGGAGAAGCTTTCTACTGTTTTAACGCCGCAGTCAGCAATATTCCAGCTATATGATGGCGGTCTGTAAATAATCGAGTCTGGACCAGACAATCCACTTATTGACATCATCAGCATCGTTCTACGCAATTGGGACCATGACACGCATCAACCAAGCTCAAACCAACGCGCACATTTCTAGTGCTGACAAAACATAGGGTTACTTGTTGAATGGAATTAAAGTGCATCACGAGATAAGGGCGGTTACGACTGCGTGTAATCCCGGTGTAGCAGGGTCGATTTAATCCTTTAAAGTTTCTAGAGTGATTGGAACCGGGGTCTGAGTTAGGCCTCCTGCACCTGTTTGCCCAGATATGTTTCTAAGATTGTCAGCGCCATGCAGGAGTTTGTGGATTTCACCAAAGTGTTAAACGTCTGAAACACTTCGGGATTCTTTCCAAAATCACGCAAATATAGTAATACTACGGTTAACTACAGTAAACTACGGTTATTGCGAACTCAAAGGGGCCACTAATGTTAGTTCGTTATAACCGTAGTTAGTTAATTATAAACATATAAACAGCATATATACAGCATATGGCCGGAACCCAAACAAAAGTTCGTTATGTCTGTCCGTTCGTTATAAGCGTTTTCGTTATAAACTGTTTCCTGTAACTGAAATGCCGCGTTTAAAGACTAAAAACTCGCTCACTCCGATCCGAAAGGATTCTGGTCCGTATTTAAAGGCGTTCAGGTGTCTTTAGAAGCAAAGGAATGTTATAATTAACGTAACAGGGTCAGTCGTTTAGCCTAGTGGTTAAAGCGTTCGCTCGTCACGCCGAAGACCCGGGATTGATTCTGGACATGGGTACAATGTTTGAAGCCCATATGCTGTGCCCCCCGCCGTGATATGGCTGGAATATTGCTAAAAGCGGAGTAAAACCAAACTCACTCACTCTAATGTTTGTTTGTAGTTTAACGCCGCACTCAGCAATATTCTAGCTACATGACGGCGGTTTGTAAATAATATTCTATCCCGGATCTTCACGGGTCCACTCTAATGTAACAATACCTTAAGCCATGTCTATTTATCCCCAACAGACTTCTGTTGCTGCTTCTGGCGGGTGGTGCAGGCAATCGAGCAAATCCACCGGTGGGCAACATTTGTTTGACAAACCTCTGGCAGAGTACCTTTCACTTTTCTTTCAAAACCAAACCGTTGGAAGTTTTGGGGATGGTCCAGGCGACTACAAGAAACTACTGGACTCCACTCATCGCCTTCGTACTTACGATGCTTTTGATGGAGCCCCCTATGGTCGGGAAACGAGCGGAGGAGTGGTTCGGTTTGCTGATCTGACTGTGCCCCAATACGGACTTCCGCTGTACGACTGGATCATTAGTCTGGAGGTGGCGGAACATATTCCATCTGCATATGAAGACGTCTACATTGACAACATTGTACGGCACGCCAAGAAAGGCGTGGTGTTGAGTTGGGCAGTGCCTGGTCAAGGGGGTCTATCGCACATCAACAACAGGCCTTTGGTGTATGTACAGAATCTTTTTTCAAACAAAGGATTTGAAACCGACATTGTAGGGAGCAATATTCTCCAACAAAAGGCAACTTTACCATGGTTGAAAGCGAACGTGTACGTTTACAAGAGGAGGGCGGATAGTGTACCTGACCCAATAGATGCTTAAATATTTGAGGGCGGTAGGGTAGCCAATTGTTAAAGCGTTCGCTTGTCACGCCTAAGGCAGGGGTTGGATTCGGCACATGGGTACAAGGTGTGAAGCCCATTTCTGGTGTTCTCCGCCGTGATATTGCTGAAATATCGCTAAGAGCGGCGTAAAACCGTACTCACCAGTTGTGAATATTGTAACACGCATGTACCAAATATGCAATCTATTTTTGTCTTAGAACATATGGTCATTAAACTCATTTCAACAGTACTCTGAGATTACGACGTATATGTCCGTGTATGGTCAGTGTATGGTCAAACTCGACCAGATCATGGTATGTGCACCCTTTATCACTGTCATGAACTGAGGAACATGAATCATGTAAGAACACTGTCAGGACCCACTAATACAAAGGAAAGTCATAAGTACAACACATTCGGCGGTCTACACGTTTCCTTGTCATAAAGACATTCCCTCCATCACTACAATTCCACTTGTTATAAAGACAACACTCACTGTTCTACATAATCCCCAGACCGGGTTAGAATAGGTCTTCAGCAACCCATGCTTGCCGTAAAAGGCGACTAACGGGATCGGGTGGTCAGGCTCGCTGACTTGGTTGATGCAGGTCATCGATCCCAATTGCGTGGATCGATGACCATGATATCAATCACTGGATTGTCTGGTCCAGACTCGATTATTTACAGACCGCCGTCATATAGATGGAATGTTGCTGAGTGCGGCGTAAAACAACAAACAAACCAACCAACATAATCCCCTGACCCGTGGAGATCCGGGGTTGAATAGATCTTCAGCAACCCATGCCTGCCGTAAAAGGCGAATATGCTTGTCGCTAGTCGCGACTGAAGGGATTGGGTGATCAGGCTCATTGACGTGGTTGATGCATGTAATAGTATCCCAATTGCAGAGATCGATGCTCATGATGTCAATCACTGGATTGCCTGGTCAAGAATCGATTATTTGCAGGTGAGGTGAGGTGAAATGGGGTTTAACGTCGCGTCCAAGATTATTGCACTTATATAGCGACGTGCATGTACGTGTGTGTGTTTGTGTGGCTGCTTGTACTAGTCCGGACTGATGCCGATTTATAGTGCTAGCTCACTGAGATACCATGCCGCAGTTTAACATGAATACCCCACTCAGACACAGTATACTGACTCCGAGCCGACCAGTCCTTGTTTTAGCCCCTTAATGCCGAGCGCCAGACAGGGTAACAAGTACCATCTTTTAACGTCTTTTGGTATGACGCGGCCGGAGATCGAATCCCGGACCTTCCGCTCTTCGGGCGGACGCTCTACCACTAGAGCACGAAGGCGGTCCGATTATTTGCAGACCGTCGTCATATAGCTGGAATATTGCTGAGTGCGGCATTAAACAACAAACAAACAGTGCTTCAAAACATACAATCTTAGAGGAAGCAAACATTTTGTTTACTCAACAGTTTTCACAACAAGCAGTTTGCCCTGTGAACGATTTATTTGTTTAGATAAAAGCTGACAAAACATATCTTTTGAGCAATTTCGACCCATGAAGATCCGGGGTAGAATAGGTCTTCAGCAACCCATGCTTGCCGTAAAAGGCGACTATGCTTGTCGCAAGAGGCGACTAACGGGATCGGGTGGTCAGGCTCGCTGACTTGGTTGAAGCATGTCATCGTATCCCAATTGCGTGGACCGATGTTCATTTAAACAATCACTGGAGTGTCTGTTTCAACATTGATTATTCACAGACCGCTGTCATATCGCTGGAATATTGATTAGTGCGGCGTTAAACAACAAACAAACAACAATGAGCCATTTCAGGATTGTTTTAAAACAAATACCATGCTCCACCAGACTAACTCAAATAGTCGGCACCTCATGTCGTGCACATTCCCGTTTCTTATTTACTGGCATGAGTTGGTGAATGTTGTGTACTCTGCAGTCAGAAATATTCCTTTTTTCTCGGATCAAGTTACACCAGTGGTTGTTATAAACCACAAGGCTGTCGTGTACGATAACACGCACTCGTCCGAATCACACATTGTTTCCGAAAAATCCGCCACTGGACAAAATATCATCCATTCCAAACAATCCAAAACTTGGAAATACCACCATTCCAAATGGAAATATGACTTCCAAAATTTGTCAAGTTCATATTTCCAAGCTTGGATTTGTTTGGATTTGTTTGGATATGTTTTGATACTTGTCATTATCATATCTGTTAAACGTTGTACAACTTAAGAGAGATTAGTAATGGCATGAAAGTAAATAATTAAGAGTATTTTGGCACTATTTACCACGAAAAGACCAAATCATGAGCAAATTTAACTAAAAGAATTTGTCATTTAAAGTGGCTACTCTTTATATTTAATTTCTTATCTTCCTTGTCTATAATCATATGACATTGACTATGAACTTTGAACAATTAAACAAATATTTTGTTTTCCCATACCGACTTACGGTTGTCGTAGAACAAAGACCGTTTCGAGAATAGAGGGCCTCATTATTATAATTTGAACTAATTTACATATGTACATAATAGTACTAGGTATAAATGAATTTTGATAAGTGTTCGTACAAGAATATCGGATTTATGCGCAACACATAGGACTGGAAATTGTATAATTCGTCTGGAACTATCTGACGGTAATTCAAAACAGGGAACAAGATTTCGTCAAATGAATCATTGAGCCAGGAATGCAACGATTTAAATGCTTACAAAATGAATAAACATATCTGGAACAGAGTAGACTGTTCATTTGGATAATTATATGCTACGTCTATTGCCAATGAAGTTTTTCACCCCATATTATAGCATTTGTTTCATATAAAAGATAGAAGCCAAATAAATGGGACATTTAGTTGTTATGAATTAGCTTTACCTCTGTGACATATTACGCAACTAAAGGTGAATACATTTATCAAATAGTCAATTACAGTAATTAACCTAGTGTCCTTATTTATACACAATTTAATTACGTATTGGGGTACAATATATAATACACATATACACTGAACACCTTGTTTTCCTTAAGTACAGCGATCTGAGACACTATAAAGGGGTATATAGGTAGATATTATACTAGTTTATAGATGTGAATCCATTTGATGATACATATGTGAGTTTAAAGTTGATTTTGACAGCCCGGGCCAAGTCGGACCGAACACCTGTGTGACTGTTGAGAGTATAGGGAGAAGAGGTCTACTTTAACCAACGTGTCTGCTTTAAATACGACGATCAGTGACATTATAAAGTGGTATTTACTTATATATAGAACGTTCCTATAAATATAAACACTATGCGCACAGATGGAACGTTGTATCACGATAGCTAGAAGTATTTGATACGTTTCAAATCTTATTTCGTTTAACGATTGCTCTTTTACATGTTACCAAGATCAGCGATGCTTACATACTGCTCCATTTTCTGGTTTTCAAGCGATTTACTCCGAATTACTTATTTATGGTGCACTGTTGTGTTTGGTGATTGTTCATTAATGTCATGTATGTATGTTGCATCAATTATATGTAGGTATGATCGCCGATAATGAAGTAATTAGCCAGTAACACTTTGGCCCGTCTTGGCCCGGCCCGGCCCGACTTTTAGGCAATGCCCAACGCGACAATGTCCCTTCCATAGTGATCCGTGCAAATAAAACTGAGTTATGAAATAGAAGTCTGACATGCCAATTAAAAGATAAAGTGTTGCAGCTTCTGATTTCATAGATCTTTAAGAAGGATTATCAATAATGGGATGGGTGATGAGTTCAACTGCATGCCGAGTCTATACGTTGTGATTAACAAATAATGCTCCTAGTCAATACATTTTGTCAAAATGTATAATGACATGTATTACGTGAATGAACATATTGTTTATACTCGTCCATGTTTTTGACGGACAATATAATTAACATGCTCGGTAAAAGTGAGGACGGGCATCATTGTGTGTTTCCGTGCTTTGTTCAGGTGAACAATTGACTTGTCCGTGCATGTGTTTGTGACGGGTGCCACTTGTGTGGCAGGATACGCTCACCTTTTCCCGAACACCCGTTAGAGAAGGCCTGAACTAATTCGGATTTTAATCCCACATCAGTCTGATACACATTGATATAACTGAAATACTGAAATACTGTACAGTTGAAAATGGTGTTTAATGCGATTACCGTAGTGTGTTACTGCAACTGTTCAAATGTTGTGCAGTGCTGTTATGTAATATGTAAAAGAAAGCATACAAATTATTCAATTATCCAATTGATTTGAATAGAATATACTGGCGTCAGTGTATTTTAGTAACGCCCCAAACCGTAATTTAAACACATATAATAACAGATCATATACACGCATGGTGCCTTGACTTACTGCTAGCTTTAATAGCCCATCCCGGAATAAAGTAGCCCCCCTCCCCCCCTCTCGTCCTACCCGTATATCTTCACATTAAAAAATTAGTTATTATTATAACCAAATGAAACACAACCCATTATCCGATAGGGGTAACTGTTCATAGCCGAGGGATATGTTACCACAATAAACTTGGTAACATTGTTTGGTTTGACTTCTTGGCGCGTGCCTGAATTACATTAACATGTTACATATCCTAAAACTGACTAATCAGCAAATCTCGGTGCACTACGCGCGACAGATACTAGAGTAAGGCATGCCAGAAATACGAAACCTAAAGCTTTCGAAAGGAAGCCTTAGGAATCACGTGCGTCGGGGGACCAGCGCCATCTGATTGGCCGTAACAGTTGTACAAGGCGGAGCAAAAAGCATCGTTTTTCCGTCCATTTTACGCTTGAAAAACTCGACCCTTTTCTGGACACTTTCTAGACGCTCACCAATTAATCAATTTTAATGAATTTTTAGTCGTTTTTCCGTCCAATGACCATATACGGAAAAAAACGACGTTTACGTGTTTGCAGTGTCAGCCTGTATGTGTATTGGCAGGCCCATGGGCGACATAGTTTTAATTTTGAGTTTTTGAAACAATATTTTTTTTCTTCCTTAGTATGTACCTATGAAAACCGAGACTGGCCACAGCATGGAAAGTTTCTGATCAAATGGGTTTCCAGAATTGAAATGGGACGTGTTGAACTATATCGAACTTGATTTAGCTCTGTTCAATAAATGTTGGACCAAATAAAGTTCATACACTTGATTTACTCTTTTTTGACAACGAGAGGGAAAAAGATATCAAAGACTGAACGAATCTGATTACCAGCTGGTAATAATGCTACAAAACTGCTCTCCAGCAGTTAACTGTTCCGCGAT